TGTTTTCTATTGTTTGAGAGTTGACAATAACGTGCTCATTAACCTCATTACATTCATTGATTTTGAATAGTTGTATGCTATATTTACTTGGTTACTTTTACTTGTGCGAAATTAAATGGTGAGTCAGGCTGGTATACAGTCGAATATTAACTTGTATATTTTACAGCCCTTCTTTATTGTAGCACATTATATATTGTTATAAATTACTTTCTGACCCAGTATTATACTCTTTTTATTATGTTATGGTGTTTATACATCGTTCATACTTTCACGTGGAATAAAGCTTAGAATTTCATATATATGCTATTCGTTGAGGAGAAATCCTTTCACTAAACTTTTTATTTTTATTTAATTTAAGTATCTAGTGGTATTATTATTGAGTATTGAACCAACTGAATGTTGCGTTTTAAAGAAACTTTGGGAAGTCAACATCCATAGGTTTTAATTATATTTTGACTAGTATTGCAATTCCCTTCGGAATTGTTTTAATTAAATATTATATCAGGAATACGGTTTATTAAAAACATAGTAAATTCAATATTTTAAATCGTTATTTCAAAAATCAACAACAGAACTATATGTCATCACTAGTTCATTAGTGATTATGTATTTAGTGTACTCCTAGGGTATGTATTAAGAACTCAAATTTATGCTAGTAATATTTACTTGTGATTCAAAAATCAGTGCATGCGTTGCATTATGCATACTAATTAGACGAAATCTAATATAATATAAAAATAATTGCTCTTTTATATTACGATTGCATATTAAATATTAGGTCATAATAGTTAAACTCCTGATAATAATTCGAATCTATTCTAAATATTTTATTTAAAAGATAAGTATATATACAACATTATTTATGTGCAAGTTAATTGAAGATAATCTGAATGTATAAATTAAAAACCACTAGTTAAACAGTTTAGATGTCTCTTCTTGTAGCGTTTCTATTCACCGTTTGCTTGTGTTATGGTGTGTTGAAATATGTTATAATTTCAATTGATAAGGTGTTATCTGAGATTGTATATCTATCAGTAACTTTTATCCGGGTATAAGTTAATGGTATAAAATCTAATTCCTTTAAATTGGTTTTTAAATCTATTATTAAAATATAGTTACGTTATCTTGACCAAACGAATGAAGAAAGTTAATCATCTGCTTCATTCATATTGGTTGTTTGAATCTTCCAATAGTGTTAAGGACTGCAGTTGATTGGTTTCTTTTGGCATATGTGCATCCTGTGCAAATAACCTCGATATTGCCATTAGGTCACAATTATCAGAGGCAAAGGCGGATCTTGGCTAGCAGCAGAACCCAGAACTCGTGTTTCGTCTTGTTAGGGACTTTTCAGCTGGATGTACTTGCATCGTAGATTTGATGTTTACTTCAGAGCTCAGTAGCCAAGTGGATAACGCGATGTTGTTGGAAAAGGAATACTGCCGTGTCCAACTCCCGGAACAGACATCAACTCTGGGATGCAGGTATATCCAACTAATGAATCCTAAACAGGAAGGGGCGTGCGCCCTGGATCCAACTGCTCGTCACCGTACATCTCTGCTTATTTCTATGATATTTACAGAAACACTACAAAGCAATGGGCTTAGAACACATTTATCAATTTCATTCAAAAAGTTTTATAATTCATATTGTTCGATATGTGAAGTGTCTGTTTAAGAATATCTGGCAAACTAGCTAACTGTTGAATATATGCCTAATAGTTAAATAAAATCCTTGAATACTTTTGCTTGCTATTGATGCTTTGAAACCAAAGAAATAGTTGTCTGTTTCATTATTTCAAAGTTATTGAACTTTTTTCAATGTATCGATAATTTCCAACTGCAAAATATAATCTATTTAATGTTTTGGAATCATTTCATCAGAGATCATTTACTTTTTTATAGTATGGCTATTGTTGTCATTTGATGATGTTTTAATTTTTGTTTGGTCGTTTGTTTATAAAGTAAAATTATTTTGTAATCTGTTTTATCTAAATGAAACTTAATAGCTAATGGCTGTTGAAAAATCACGTACTTGAATGTTCTTGTGTAACAGGATAGTCTGCAGTCAGTACGTACTATTTCAGAAAGATGAAGTCCATAAAAGTTGTTAGTTTTATTTCTCTCTCTAGAAACTACTACTGTTAAACATGTTGTCCATGTGTATCGCAATACAGCTAATATGAAAATCTTTCATTGGCTTCGTCTTTTTTTCTTCACTTCACATACTCAATTGAAAAATCACTTCCAATTTTCATGACGGTCACAAAAATATCTCTAATTATATTGTTTGTGATGATCCTAGTAGTTTGATAACGAATAATTCTTCAAATTCTCATCGAGTTAATTCGACTTTATAACTAGTTGGACTATCCTTTTTTGTATCTGTTACTCCACTCTAAAAAAAATTATATATGTATATATAAATTTGACCTTAAATTTACCATGACCTCAAATAACACTCAGATTTTTAAACAATACAAGGTAAATTTTAGAACCGGGCATTGTTATTTATTCGCTTTTTTGAATATTAGATCAGAATATTGAATCTGTGTTAAGCATAAAGGATAAAAGTGGACTCGAAGTGGATTTCGTGTAATACGGAGCTACTTAATTTTTTAAGTTGATGAGTACGAAATATACATTTTACTATAACAGAATAATGAAATATCGCAATCTTTATAGGATATTTTGTGATTTGGGCTGAATAAAGGATCAGGAATATGTATGTCAACTAGAAACAGACATTCCTAACTTCTATATTTGAAAACGGGAAATCAATTGTCTTTCATATATGGTGGTTTTAATAGGTATTATGACAGATTTTGTTCAGCTATATTGGGGTAGAAAATGCTTTTCTTGAATTCTATTGCTTTTTACTATCTGATGCTCTACTAAACTGATTTACTCGTTTGAATGCTGCTATGTTATAATGTCTGCCGGACCAATTTTTATACATGAACTGTAAGGTACAAATCTGTACAAAAGATCTAACTGGAGCAAAAATCAATGCGTTATCGGAAAAATCTGTTTTGCTCAAATGTTAAAAGAAAAAATTTCCAGGTTTCATGGGATTTTCCAAAGCCGTAGCAATAACAATTAAGTCCAACAGATTTTGTTGTTAAATAGGACTTTTTAAATAAAATAATTTTAGAACTTTCTAGCAACCTAAAAAGTGATTACTGTTCATTATAGACCGACGTTTACCATCTTCATGTCTTACGAACACGTTTCCATAATATTTTATTACGAAATAACGACTGCATTAACAAAGACAAAAGGATGATTTAAAAAATAATTCTACAAAGGTCTTAACTTTACATCTCACCAAGAAAACTGATTCGCTTTCAACCTGTAAAAAATAGGTATTTTCATTGGAGTAATCAAGGTATTTTTTTGATAAGAACATATCACAATAGTTAAGCCATTATTCAAGATATTGATAAGATTTATTTATACTTTAAAGTAATCAAGGCCAAATCATATAAATAAAACAGCTGATTTATTAAATAATAAAAAGTCTCTGTCTAGTATCTGGTTGTTTGACTTTTTCTGCTAATTTCTCTTGAATCAGTAAGGTTATTGGCTGCCTAAACAACAATTTCCGGTGTGATCAATAGATAACCAAAAATTTTTGTTTTTTAGTTTCTGTGGTCAAAATTAGGTTTAAATAAATCCACACTTTGACACCAGTTGTTTCCAATCAATAATAATCTTATTATACTGCAGCTCTTGTTCATACTGATAGGGCCACGAGCAAAAGATCGAATGAAAAAGGGTGACTATCAAAAGGGTGTATAATAATAAAGACGATCATTGAAAACAGGAATAACATTTTTAATGGTGTGAAGTATATTCGATCTACCCTCTGACCCTAAGCCTTACGACCAATGAGAAATGCGTTTTTCGGAATGTGTGATGAAGAGTCTACTTTCCACAAAGCTACTCGTTGAGTGAATATTTACCTTTCACACATTTCGTTTGATCGCATTATTTTTTTCTGCACTTCAATCATTACTCAGCTTTAATTTACTCTTTGAAATTATGTACTACTCTTTATATTTCCGACACACTAAGTGGAGTGAAAGATGCAAGTAAATAGAATAGGTAGGCGATATGAACATTTAAAATTTAGACTCCGAGTCCCCCAACACATTGATAAATCAGCCTAAAAGGGCTATTTCTGAATACTGGGAAATAATCCCAGCATTATATTTAGGCTGGAACCAAATATTTTATTTCCAAATAAATAGATGTAAATTTACTTGACATTTCATTACACTTTCACTGTATATGCTTATTCGTAATTAAGTTTATGATCTTTATTTATTTTTTCGGTCTTTTCAAATCACCTGACAAACTCTTCATTCGTTGGGAATTTAACAAACGACTATTTCTTAAAAGATTATGTACTGGCTGTTTAAAATAGACACAGGAGATAACATGATTTGGGTAATGACAGTAGCAATCTGTTATGGATTTCGAAAATTTTCAGTAGTAGTAGTATTTTCATCATACATTCCAAAAACGCACTTCTCACTGGTTGTAAGACCAAGGGTCAGAGGGTAGATCAAACACACCATTAAAAATGTTATTCCTGATTTGAATGATCACGTTTATTATTATGCTCCCTTTTGATAGTCGCTTTTATCAGCGTATCCCCCTCTTCACTCAGCCTTTTGTTCTCAACCTTAAATTGGATACTGACAGTCCCCGTATAATAATACTTACCGTTGTATTTGAAGATATGCTCTCTTGTTGTTGTGTATCATTATTAGTTTTTTGGCTTTGAAAGTGGTCTTGAACAAACATTTTATATCCTGTAAATATTAATGTATTCGTGTCGTTGATATTTGTTATGTAAGTACATGAAATTCTGTTGCTTAACAGTGTGCTTCTTGTCTTTTCATGTGTTGTAATTTACTTTAAATGTTTATTTGTCTGCTTAGTATGTTAAATAGATTGTAAATAATTGCCATCTGTTTTTATGTTATTTATTTGCAGCTCGAGTAGGCTATTTTGGTGCACGTCGGCATAGCGGTAAGTTGGACTTTTCTTAATTACATGTCTTGTCCAAATATACTTTTTCTAATACATAAATATCTTGTTAAATCTGATTAGACATTCCCAATCTTAATTAAAGTAATTTCAGAATGCTGCGTACCACCTAGAAACATCACATCATAAAATCGTAGATTGTTTTACTGATAAGTGTGATACATGTTTAGCGTGAACGTTGTTAATGTTATCACTCATATTGTTGAATGATTGAATTAATTTCAAGACCAACCATGTTTACATAAGGCATTCTTGATTATTGTGTGACCGCTTAAACTGAATTTTGAATAAAAGGAAAATTATGTATAACGGAAATGATGAAAATGTTATGACGAAAATACTTATTACATCAAAAATAGATAAATTAGAACACGAAATGACGATTCTAAAGTGATTAACAATTCTGTACTCATCTTTACGTCTGTTATACATTATTACTTGAGATCGCGTTTATGATCATAACTCTCCTTTAGAGTTACAGTTTATATATATTTATCTAATAAATTATCACAAATATTAGGATTTACACCCGTTGTATTCTGTCTAATTTTCTAAGATTGAGGTTCTGTGTGTGTCACACGCTTATTGTCACTGAGTTTACCTATATTGTGAAGGGAATCTCATACTTTTCATTAGACTTCGTAAACGTTTTTATACATTTATTTATTCGTTGACATTTATTTCATTTAAGCAATACTCCATGTTGATTTAAAACTTCAGAATGTAAAGTTAGAATGTAAAATGAAGTGAATTCATTTGATTTCATATGCTCTAAGTCAATGATTTTTATAATATGATGAATAAAATGTTTTACAATTGTAATTTTACACATAACATCTAAAAATTAATTTAGTTTATAAGTGAAAAGAAATAATCACAAAAACTTTTTAATATTCACTCTTGCTTTATAAAAATTTATCACAGGACTTATTTGCATGAAATTTCAATATATATCAATTAAAATTTTATAGGATAACGTATTTTTGTTCTAAAATTTTAAAATCAAATTTTGGTTTCCAAATATTGGATTCTAAAAATATTTTTTAATAAAAAATAACTGATTGTATTATATCACATAGGTATCACTTGTAAGTCGGTGGCTGGAAGTAGTCGACAAGAAACCCTAGACTTATGTTTCATGATATTGGTATTTGTCAACAAGATGTACCCACAATCTTGTCAAAGGTCATACATATTGTTTTCGTGTATCTTTTATTTTAAACTCCCAAATACCATTTACCAAATGTTATTCAACTTCATTTTCGTTGTTGGTTTATTCAACCGTTAAATATACTATTCATCATTTCTTACTTCATTTTGAATAATCAAATGAGAAAACTCTTTTTTTTTTAAAAGATCAGGAAAATATAGGTCACAAATCGAAATAATCTTATTACCACATTTTATTTAAGTAGTTCACAGTGAAAAAAAGAAAGTTCATCTTTATCTTGGTAAAAATAGAAGAAATAATCTAATATGTAAATTTTATGGAATATTTGTACATATTTCTACACATCTTTTAATAACTGTCAATAAGAATTAAAAAAAAAAACAATCATATATACAAGTGAAATATAATAAATATGAATAGTGCATTGCTTACTTTATAAATAAGCGATGAACAGGTCACAGAACAGATCGATTCATCATTGTTAATAAATTTAAAGCTCCTCTTAAAAATGATGAATTATTTTTAACTGAATGTATTATCTACACATTCACAGTTTAATTATTTTTACGGCTTTGATAGTTTCACATGTATTATATCGCATAAAGTATATGTGTGACCAGATTGTTCGAAATATATTGCCCAAATATACCACATAATTCTGATAACCTCCGTCTTCTCATTGTATTAAACAAGCTTTCACAGTTGTTTAATTTTTATCATTTAATACTATACACTACTCTATTCACCATCATCTTTAACGATTTTAGGTCAGTATTTCTAACCATAAACTTATATCAACCGAATACGAAATTACTGCTACAGTTTTTGGATTTAAAAGTAGTTCACACTTGCAAGTCATAACTTCACGTTGTTATAACACATGATGACCGTTCATTTTATTTATAATAGATAGTTCATCGTTATCAACTTTTCGGGGAAAATAATTTCATGTACAAAATTGATATTGTATTACTCTACTGTATTATGTGTACAATATATATGAGAAAACTGTCAATTGTAATTTCATTCACATTATATAGGAACATAAATCCAAAACTATAATATTAGTTTGTTGGCTATTATATACAAGCAAAGATTATACGTTATCATCCTAATTGAGAGTTTCACATTGACGATTCTTGACACCTACCCATGTTTACTGATTAGCTTATAGCTATATCTGTTCATTAAGAGATAACCACTGTAAATTCGTAACCAAGTGGACACTAAAAACTTAGGTTTAATGAGTTCGTTTTTATTGATTGTATCGAAACAGAGAGGTACGATCACATCTAGCTTATTAGTTTCACTTAGAAAAGTCACTTCCAAGTGACATGTCTGTCTGACTTTTCATGAATCATGTTTAGGTTTGGTGTTTTCGGGTAATTTATTAAAACAACAATCAACAAATCAAATGTTAAGAGTAGATGATGAATTAACCAGTTTAGCTCTTTACACAATTATGAAATGACACTTCATTTTAACTTATAGTATTTTAAATAATAATATCTGTAATCCATTTATCTAAGGAAAAAAGATAAATGAAATTTTTATATTTGGTAAACTATGTCGTCCGATTGAATATAAACTAAAACCATTTGTTGGAATGTAAACACAAATCAAGTAGATATAAGAAATTCATTAAATAAAAATAGGTTTGATATACTGATAATCAATAATTTGACTGATTTATCAACAAAAAAATGTCAGTGCATAATAAATTATATCATCGGTTACTGATTAATCGAATAGTTTAGAAATTGCACTAAGTAGGCTGCCGCTACCTATACAAACAAAGTTAAACAATATATTCCTAATTTAACAAATTGAATCCCATTTAATCGAAGTAATAAATTTTCTATTAATCACATTAGGATTTCTAAGGAAATATATCATTTTATGTTTGACATTAAGCTTCCATAGATTATTTATTGAAATAAAAGTGTAATTACTTCAGATTTATAATAATCTCTATTTAATCAATAATTTTTCTACAATAAATCTAATAACAAAAATAAGTGTTTTTATCTTGCTATCACTTATCTCAATATCTTATAGGATGAAACAAATTTTTAAATCACTTTGGAAATAGATATAACTCTACTATGAATTTCTGTCTTTTAGGCCATTATTGAAATTTAGCAGGAAATGCAAAAATTAGAAGAAATAATCCAAGTCTTTCTGAGTACTAGTAATTATAAAGCCGTATCTAATTTGCATCATATAGCACTGTTTTATTAGTGAACAAACTAAAATAAGATTTATCAACCAGCTAAATACATAAAAAATATGTATTTACAAATTCATCTTCATCTATAAATGACATTGTCCTTAAAACTATTGAAATCGATTTGAACTTTCATTAGTTATATGGAAAATTTGTAACATGTGAATTCCAGCTACATCAGAAGTGAAATAAATATATAATATGATTTATTGATTAACATTTATTCCTTATTACAAACAGATTAAAGTGCTTAATGTACTTGATTGAACTGGCATCCACTGGTCAAAAAGCATTATACTCAATCGAAGCCTGATGACCCTTGGTTCGTCATGAAAGCTGATTTATAATCAGTCATGAACGAAGGCGAAATCACTGTTCTTTTATGCTTAGTTTTCAACTGTTCTGAAGCTGATATCACTTCCTTGGCTAAAATTAACTCTCAGTTAAACAATCTCAATTAACCCCACCTTTTAGTAATAATGATGTAGTGTTTGTGCAGGAAAAAAGGTATTATGACTAGGTAATGCATTAAAATACGCTGCATAAAGTTATTCTTTGTATATCAATCATCGCCTACTCTGGTTTTATTCGCTGCGAAAAGTGGTCCATAGGTTAGGCGTTCGCACGCAAGACCGAAGGTCCTGAGATCGAATCCTGCGAGGTGCAGGAGTCGTGGATACGCACTACTGATGAGTCTCATACCAGGACGTGACGGCTACCCAATGCTTCCGTGTTTCTTACATCGGTCGATTCATGATTTCGAAATTCTTACTTTAGCAAAATAAAAATGTAATGTTTCTTTTTCGAGCAGCTTTCGTGAGTCATTACGTTCATTGTACTTTATTGATATACATTATTTGGTCAGAATTCATATGTATACTTCTATTAAACTTTGAATTATGTATTTATGTTGATTATATTACATTCGTAGAAATAAGAACTGAGAATAGTTAAGTTAAAGTGAATTACCGATCAAACGGTCTACTTTTTGAAACTGCATTTTAAAATTTTTACTTAAAATTTAATTCAAGCACCAAACAATTATAATATATATATGCATGTATGTACGTACGTATACAACACATGTCCAGCTTCATAAGTACTTTTAAGGATACCACTATTTAATGACTTTCTATTGATGTAGTTTAAGCATTTTTCTAATCAGATCTGAACTAATGAACTGTTTTAGGACGAAATGAATTGAGAAAAATTTATGGTTTTTGTACTTTCTCTTATCATACTAAAAGATTTGATGTATTGGAATGATGTTATTTCAAATAATTTTGCTTAATTTTCTGTTTTGTTTTGACCGAAGCTCATTATCAATATACAACGAATTTAGATAATAAGTAAATTATTTATCCTAATTTTGTCTTATTTTTTTAGTGGCAGCTGAAAGTTTCAATCCAGCCACAGTTGATTTAGAACCTGTTGTGCATCCGAAGACTGTAGCGCAAAAACTTCGCCTGAAATCAGTTGTTGAACCAATTTTCATTTTTCGTTCATTGGACGAGGTGAGTTATGGAAAGTATGATTGTAAAGTTCACAATTTATATATGATTTGATGAGAAAGACGATTTTAAATGTAATGAATAATGAACAGTAAGATTTTTTGAATTTCTAATGGTTTTACAGCAAACATTCTAGTAAAATCATTAATCTGATTTCACCTTGTCAAAATAAAGAAGCAGCTCGATTTACTCTTCGTGTATCTGGAAGCCCTGATGCTGCCTCTCGGGATCTTGCTGGCGCAGATGTAGCACTGAGTCGTAGGGCTGAATTATCTCTCCTAGACTGGTTCCCAGTAGATAGTCGATTGTGCGCTGTCCGACTGAATGGGACAGTAAGGACTCGGAAAGATAGGGACACTCGCCGTCGCCCCTTCGTCGTATCTGCGTACCCCCCCAATGGTTGCAGTTCAGACGAGGTTAAAGATGAGTTTTACAGGAAGCTTTCGGACCTCCTCCAAAAAGTTAGGCGCTCTGATGTAGTGATAATGGCTGGTGACTTTAATGCTCAGGTAGGTAGAATAGGTGAAAATGAAAGGCACATGGGTGGATCTTATGGTGTCACGGCTCAGAGAACAGACAATGGTGACCGTCTGTTGCAAATATGCTCAGATAACCGCCTATTCCTAGCAAACACTAACTTTAGGCATAAGGAAAAGCATCTCTTGGCCTGGCGACCCCCAAAGACTTCTCAACGTTGGACCCAACTACATCACATCGCCATCAGCCAAGGATGGAGGGGTTCGATAGAGGACTGTCGCTCGTTCTGGGGCACATGTTTGGATTCAGATCATGCCCTAGTGCGAGCTCGTGTTTGTTTGAGGCTTACTGGACGTAAGAAAGCTTCTTAGGGTTTTACTTAATGATAATAAAGCTAAGAATATATTTCAGGAGCAACTAGGAAGAGAGTTAGGCAACAATGTAAGTGATTCCCATCCGGAAGCAGGTTGGAATGATATCAAAAAGGCTGTGGAAATAGCAGTGATATCTGCTAATAAGGTAAACCACAAGGCTATAATGAAGTCGTGGATCTCAGTCGCATCCACCGAACTCATGGATGCTCGAAAACTTATCCCACCTGGCTCTAAACATGGTGAAGAGCGAAGTCAGCTTCGGCGCAGACCGATAAAAAGCCTACGAAACGACCGCGAACAGTGGTGGGTGGCAAAAGCGAGAGAGATGGAAAAGGCAGTGGTGATAGGCAACAGTAGACAGTTGTTCCACTTGATCAAGGAAATTGGTATTAGGAATCCTAGCGTAAGTGCGACTATCTCGTAAAAGGTTAGGACTATTATTTATTCTCAATCCAGGAGACTGGATCGATGGGCAGAACACTTTAGTGATCAGTTCAACTGGCCTTCTGCCACATTTTGGTTACTCACGATCTCCAGTCATCCTGAATGGCAAGTCGACGTAAGCCCTCCGAACCTTTATGAAGTTGGAAAGGCTACAGGAAATCTGAAGCGAGGAATAACAGCAGGACCCGATAGATTTACTCCTGAGATATTTAAGGATGGTGGTCCAGTTTTATCAGCTAGGTTGACTGAGATCTTAGGTAGAATCTGGGAACTGGACGTAATCCCATCTCATTGGTCTCAATCACTGATTGTCCCAATTTATAAGAAAGGACAAAAGTCCTCTTGTGACAATCACAGGGGAATCAGTCTAACTAATATAATATCTAAATTGTTAGCCTCGATAATCATTAGACGCCTAAGTAGAGATCGTGAAGAGCAGGCTAGGGAAAATCAGGCTGGTTTTCAACCTGGACGTGATTGTATAGACCACATTTTCACACTACGACAGGTCCTGGAACACAGAAACTCATTTAGGCGTTCTACAATAGTTGTCTTCCTGGACCTAAAAGCGGCATTCGACTCTGTTGATCGTGAGGTTCTGTGGCAGTGTCTGTCATTGAAAGATGTACCAAAGAAGTACATTAACCTTATGCAGGCTCTCTACTCAAACACTACAGGTCGTGTGAGAGCTTATGACGAACTGTCATCGGAATTCTTTACTTCAAGTGGTGTCCGTCAGGGATGTACACTCCCAATTCTTGTTTAACGTTGTCATAGACATGCTGCTAGATGTAACCTTATCCTCGTCAGATTTTTCAGGGGTTGACCTTTTACCAGGGAAATCGCTTACTGATCTAGAATATGCCGGTGACATCGTTCTATTCGGTGAAGACGCTGACAAGATGTAGAGTCTTCTGACTACCCTAAGCAACAATGCAAGCATGTTCGGGACGCGGTTTTCCCCCTCGAAATGCAAAATGTTGCTTGAAGACTGGGTTGCATCGGTACCTGAACTAGTGATAGGAAGTGAAGTAGTCGAACGTATATACCACTTCACTTATCTGGGGAGTCTTACAGGTGCTGATGGCCTGGTGACTGAGGAAATCTCAGCGTGGATACAGAAGGCTCGATTGGCTTTTGCCAACCTGCGTCACTTATGGCGTAGGCGAGATATCCGTTCGCTGACCAAAGGACGAGTGTACTGCGCAGCGGTTCGCTCTGTCTTACTTTATGGCTGTGAAACATGGCCAGTGAAAGTAGAAGATATCCGTAGGTTACTGGTTTTCGATCATAGGTGTCTTCGAAGCGTTGCTCGGATATCCTGGGACAACGGAGTGAGCAACGCTTTTGTTAGGAAACGGATGCTAGGTAAGAACGGCAGATCAATAGATGAAGTTATGAAACTTCATCAGTTGAGGTGGTTTGGACATGTGTTGCTTATGCCTAACCACCGACTGCTTCGTTGAGTCATGTCGGTAGGTGTCCACTACCTGGTTGGGGTCCGCGAGATGTTAGTAATAGATGGTTCAGGACGCTGAATGACATTGCTCAAAAGCGTTTGCAATGGCGCAGGTGCATTCATTCTTTGTGTTCTCCCAAGTCCTAAGCTTTTTAATTCTTCATCACTTTATCCTTTTCCTTTTAAGTCTATTTCACTAGATTCTACTTCGTGAATAATATATTCTAATCCTAACCTCTCCAACTACTGCTTATACCTTTACTACTTGTACTACCATGGGATTTGAATTGACAATTACATCTCTGTGCTAATGTGGTATGGCAACATGAACTGATGTACGTACGTACGAAGTTCTACGTTGTTATTGATTGGTTGATTGATTGATTACTGTATCATTGGAATATTCTCATACAACATTTTCTATTTATTTGTCATTCATTTATTCACTCTTGTTACACCATTCATAGTACTTACTTAATTAAGTCCGTTTCTCCTCTTTTACCATCGACCAGTGATTTGCAACTAACTCTTTCGTAAGCTGCCATTTCCAATTTTTTTCCCGAGTGGTATTCATGTTCTTGATGTCTGCCTCAGATTCTAGACGTCATGTCTTATTCGGAATTTGTCTTTTCTTTTCGTAAACGGAATATACTTATTAAGGCATAAAACAAGAAAGATCGTTTCAGTAAAGTGTCCTCTTCTTGAATAATTTATTTTCACACATATACTTTTTTCATACATGATGATAATTACAATAACATTAATGATAAAAAGTTTACTAAACATGGTCATAGTGAAGCATAAAACGTTATTCGATTAAGGGAATTGCCAATAATGTTGTTGTTGAGGACTTGAACGTTCATCATGAAGACTGATAAAGAAATTGCAATCGTGAAGGCTTAGCGTGATGAGATAAGGTGTTCACATTAAGATGAGAATCAGGAAAACAAAAACAAATCAGTTATATACGAAAGCTCTATGGAGAAGGCGACGGAAGGGAAGCAGATGGCTGTTAGAGAAGACAAAAAAGAAAAAACTTCCATGGGAGATTAAGACAATGGTAGAAGAAGAGGTTATATATGTCTCTTAACACATCATTCTGGTCTTTCCAGATGCATGGCGAATGCTTCGGTAAGGTTAAGTAGTCTGCTCCTAACAGCCTTCATCAACTTTCTACTTACCTTATAGATGACTCTGATCGAATGACCTGTGTTCACTAAGCATTTCATTACAGAGCTTCTTATTGTGCCCTTTCCACCAATTTTCAGCCAGGTCGAGTAATGTTCTGGAATACTTTAGGTAAAATACTTATTGGACGACCTGTATGTTTGACTCCACATGAAATGGTATGTTGATAAGTCCACGTAGATTAAGTCAAATGAGATAATTTATCATTTAGATTGTTACTGTACGGTGCTCGGCTGGAGAATACTAATCACAAGGATGCTGCGAAGAGCGTCCGAATTTCTCCTCCTCAAGATGTCCGTGACCATGTTACCTTTAACATCGGTGTTCATACAGAGCTTTTGTTTACCTGTTGCTGATTATTATCTTCTTGTTTTTCCTTTCTTGAATCAAATCATGGATGTCCACGAAAATCCATTCTTTATATTTGTGCTTCTTAAAATCTGACGCCTGCTGGCACACTGTAATTATTGCTCCTGTAATTCATTTCTAGTTGCATTCCATTGTGATTTCCTCTCCAGCAAATCTTGTGAGGTCTGAAACTTGTTGCTGAGAAGGAGGATTTTCTTGAACTCGCTGACATTGTTAACACCTGGAAGGAAAATTATATTTAACTTTTGTAATACTAATAGTCTAACTGTCTGATGCTTTTTTTAGCTTTAGTTCTAGCTTGTCCACCACTAAATAGTGTTACGAAGCTTAATCAGCTCTTCTATTTGCTATTACGTCTTCAATGAACCGTCTGAATACTTAATGACGCATATTTGGCCAATCTGCTTTTCTGGAATGTGGTAAAGTAAAGCCTACGAAACTTTGTGTATAGATGTATGCGGGGAAATACTCATGCCTACGGCAATGTTGTTAAAGGCACGAAGATCTACCGGTATCTCACCATTGTTGTTTCTTTCTCCCAGCTTGTGTTACTGCATGTTGCGTTCGTACCCGTTGTTGTCCATTATGACCTTAAGGTTTTGGTCCCCCATCGGCGTGGCTAGATATTTTCCCCGGTATATCTCTAGGATGATCTGAAGCCTCACATGAAACTGGTCTAGAATATAATAACAGTCCTCCCAAAGTTCGTCTTTTTCAGTCCAGATTCTCTTCATTGGATTTCACGTATTCCAGGTAGAACTATGTGGCATCTCTTTATTTTCGCTGCCATCTAAAAATCCCTCTCGGTTTCTCACATTTCCCGGATATTTCGTCTTAGCCAGAATAATTTTTAATGTAGTTGTTAAAAGGTTTATTAGTCCCGTGACTTCCCAGGAATATCGGCTTTCGCAATTAGGCGTCACAACTCTTCTATATGAAGAAGAACGTTCAACTCGAAGGACAGATTTTAACCGTTCTCCTGAAAATTATCCTTTACCTGCATTGAGGACCGGCAGTAACCTCTGAGGGCTCCAGGTGGAGTCAGCATTCATAACCTTAAGTTGAATGACTTTATTTTGTACCTGGCAATTTATGAAAAGAGTCCCTCTAAGCCTATATGTACCTTTACCCACTCAACTTGATTCAAAATTGTATGTTACAATAATTTATCATATTTAACAAACACCTCAGAAAAGTAAATTTTCTCTAACACATTAACCTTTTTGAGGGACATGAATATTTTTGCTATTAAGTTTGTTCTATTGATTGTGACTTGTACAGCACACAATACTAATTGACAGTAAAACTAAGGAGTACTTTATCAGACTAGCCAATTAGCTTGAAAAATATTGAGGAATAAAGTTAATGAAATATACAACTATGTAGCCAAAGATTATGGCGCGGTTTTTAAGGTGGGCACTTAATGGTCGTCACTGGTCAGAAAAAGATTCAATTATGTGATGCTTATTAGTTCGAATGAGTCAACTACTCACTATATTAGGCACCGTATATTTTAAATAACTGCGTGCTTGAAGCGAAATTATGTACTTGACGTACTGTTTACATACTTGTTAATTATAATCTGTTTCACGTGACTAGCTTTTCATAAAATGAGCATGACAAAATGTATTTAAAGCGAAACTAAGTCTGGATTATGCGATTTGAGGTCATGTAAATGAAACTAAGGTTGAGTAGAACATATTTTTGTTGAAAATTACAGATAGTCTACAGTCTTTCAATTTATTAACACCATCTTGGCTAACCATAAATTCGTGAAAATTTTTTGAAAGCTATGCTTGAGTTTATATCATACAATCCTCTGATTTCATTTTTAATAGAACGAAACGCTCATCCTGTATTTCACTATTACTCACAATTTAAATGCACTAAAATAAATAGTCATTCTATGTGAAATCAATTTCCATTTTATTTATATTCAGCAACAAAGCAGGTATCCTTAACTTATCTGTAGTCGTCTTCGATTGTTGTATATCCAATTGGTTTGAGCAAAACAGAAGCCACTTTTTATACGCCAGGTTTATATCGGCACGGATTAGTTTTGACTTTCAATTTCTATACATCTTTATGGAATGTCAGCTTCCACTAGATATTTACTAACAGTTTCTGAAATGATCGGAAAATTTTCTAGAAGTCTACAACTATGATTTCGAACCTACTAACGTTACAAAGATCGGTTAGAGATCTTCATAGTAGTCTTATTTCCATTTGGTCGATGTAAATAAACTAAGTTTTAGTGCTGTTGATATTCAGAACTGATTGTGACCAGTTTATGTCAGTATGCTTACTAGTTGGACCGCGATATCTTGACACTACATATAACTGGAAGTTTAGCTCTGGTTATTATCTATAGAATCTTTGCATTTCATAGCAATATTATGTTCGTTGGTGAAAACCATGTTTCATTATTCTAGAAGATGGTGCTTTTCCGTTTGAATTGATACATACTAGATCCTTAATCTGGTGTAAAAATCGACGCTATGATGTAGGAACACTCAATCGATGAGCATATAGCCGGGTGGAATTTCACTGCTCTAATTCTAGTTCCAATTTTTATTCGAATGATAAATGTTCATAAAATTCACCGTTGCCATAATTTATATGAATTTTCCATATAAAAAATTGCTAGATATAATTTTCACATCAAACCAAACGTTAACTTTTGACACATTCTGTCATCTGTAAAAATTAATTTTCATCTTTTTACCTTGGAAGATTATCCAATTTTCATCTTAATTATTAGTTTTTTTTATCTTTTTCTCTTATTGATATTTAATAAATAGACTCAGCTAAGAAGAGTCATTGATGCCATAAAAGAAACATCTGTTACTAAAGGTCAAGTAATTATAAATCAAGGTGAAGATGGTGATTATTTTTATGTCATTGAAAGGTGAGTGTATTTATTAAGTTAAAAGGCTTCAAATATAAAGAAAGTTTAATGAGTAGAATACATCTATATGAATAAGAGTAAATGATAAATGGATTCGATTCTTTTCCTGGTAATTTCTTATAATGAAACTATTTATTGAGCAATGGTTAGTTGGATTTAACCAACATTTATATCATACTATCAAAGGTTGCATACTCCAATACTTATGGTTAATATTTCTTAACTAGTTTGTATTTTAATTATCTAAGTTTAAAATTTATTAGTAATTGAGAGTGACTAATACTATTTCAGCTGTGCTGATTATCAATAGAGTCTTATACAACTCATCCATTGAACTAATGCTGCGTTTACCGAGTGAATCATGTGTAGATCACGAGTTCAGAAATTCAATGAATAGTGTACTGTTTCAAACGTATTCTCAATCATTTGTACTCATGAATAAACGTGCATATTCCTATCTACAATAGTTTTTTTATTGTTTGTATAAATGACCATGGGTTCCGAGTAAACCGGTTAATCTAAACGTCAATGTACCACAAAATAGCTCTTACTACACAATAATTCATATACTATTTTCTTTTGATGTCATTACATTAAGATTTTAAAAAAGTCTACTGTGATTACTTCCCATTAATTATTTATATGAAATTTTAATTAAAGAATAAATGAAACAAATAACAATTATCGCTTATTTGTATAGCATACAATTATAATCAGAGGACATAATTACAAGATACTGTACTACACTCTACTGTGAATATATATATATATATATATATATATATATATATATAGGCTTTTTTCTGAAAACATAAATTTGCATGTAGTTGTTTGGACTTCTATTATTCTACTTGATATGGAGATTGGCAGAAGGTTTGCTTATTGAGATACTTGAAAGTTAACGATTGTTAATCTATTGAACCTTGTTGTTAGAAATATTTTAATTTTATAAATGTAGTTATTTTTCAAATAAACGCAAGTTAAACTATGTAGACTAATAAATATATACAAAAAAAATTATATCCACATTCTTTTTTGTTCATGCTTATAAACGCAAAGATGAATGTATCATATTTTTCTTCAATAAACTTATTTATAATGGATATATTCGGTTGTTTTTATTGTTTATATGTTTTAAATATAAGTTTGCATTTATGAAATGTATTGTCTTTAGAAGAATACATAGAATGAGTACTGTTTTTGGTATTCTTCAGACCTATTTATCTGTTTTTTAAAATTCTCATAATTTGACTTGATAGGATATCTATATCTTGATAATAAATATGATCTTTTTCGCTTATTTCATTAATGATTCTCTAATCATTACAGTCTATAGTTTACATATCGTAATGATTTCCGAAATTGTTGTTTTGATTATTGAAGAAAATATAAATGATACTTTTGATACTCGAACTTATTGCTAATGAAATATTTCTTCATATGCAAAATCATTGGTATCTATATAAAAGAATGAATAAGTACAAACTTGTCTGAATGTAATTTAATCTACATAGCTTATGGAATTAACTGGTTAAATTGAAATTATATCTAATATATGTTCTTGATTGATATTAGATTTTTATGTTATTGAAACAAGTTTAACTGGAATGTGTTGTAATTAAACTTGATAAATATTTTTATAACTTAATACTTTCACTAACAAAATTCCTACAGTTGTTGACTCTTATGTCGAAAATTAATGCAAATGCCGCATGAAGTATTGTTCAAGTTTTTTGTCTATGCTCTCGAGAATACATTCAAATGAGATTGCGTCTAATTTTTTAAATGATAGCTAAGTGCTAAGTTGAGTGCAAAATGAATTGTTTCGATTCGATAAAATACTACATGTTCATTTTTTTCATGATTTCAAGTAAACTTTTTACAACCAAGGTTTATAATGATGAAGTGTTGAGATCTCTATTAACACAATCGACAGTTATCAAGGTTTTAGATAACACAGTATTTGGATTTATCAAAAAAGAAATGAATGAAGTATAATTCACTAAATTCAATTCATTGTATCAGTCTATGAGATCAGAATTTCTTAAAAATGATGCTGCTTAACTAAATTATAAGTATCTTGTAGTTAACTGTCTATTTTCACTTACGTAATATTTATTAAGTTTCAATTTCTGGACATGAATAAGTACTATCTATAAGGCTTTAATGAATCGCGGTTAAACATTTGCGTTTAGGGCTAACTGTGTAATTGTGTACATAGTTAATACACTCAATTAAACTTAAATGTTATCACATTGATGAAAAGAAATCATAATGTTTTGGATAACTGACTAATTCAAATGGTATATATTACTTTTCATATGTATTTCTATAAGTTTTACTTAATAAAATCTAATTTGTAAATAGTGTGCATATTTTAGACTACATTGGAATGTATTCATTTCTTAAATTAGATTGTTTAGTTGTTTAAGAGTATTATGTACATGTATTTGGAAAAATATGAAAGGAAGCCCTCGGAATTCATCTTCGTATATATATATATATATATATATATATATATATATATATATATATATATATATATATATATAGGATTTATGGAATAAACGTGTAATACGATTTCACATATACAAGTGAGAAATATAAATTAACCATTGGAAGCTAGTCTACATCTTGAACTAACTTTAAACAGACAATTAGTAAAACTAAGGATAGTTGGACCATCAGTCTATTCTTTAAATAACTTTAGGCTAAATAGACTTTAAAAGCTATGCTAAGAAAGTAAAGTTGTATGACTTAAATCCTTGCATGCAAATCATGGTTATTGTTGAATTCATAACTTTGTCCCTGATTATTTTGTTTACAATTGACCTATACAAATGACCTATAATACTGCTAATAAAATAACAGCTATTTCAACTCAAAAATATTTCATACAGGTTTTTCCAATTTCTTAAATTGAATTAGGTATGAAAAAATATCGTAGCAGAATAACGTAAATTCATTTATTTTGCAGCTTCATCTTAGTTGCTTACAACCTAAAAATTTAGTATTGATCATTAAACCGAAACGAGTATTCATACCTTTATATTTCGGACGTCCTGAATAAATTGAGTTAACAAAATAACTTGTTTATGTTTGTTTATTCTTATAGTTGGGCTTTTGGAATAAATAATTTCGTTAATTTATTCATATTGGTTTACGTTTTCCCGTTGTTCACGTCAAGCGATTTCTACTTGCGTATCTGATCAAAAGAGAATACTGACGAAAGTCACTCAAAATGTGTATATACCATTGGAGGCTTATCAGTCACAGTGCTTAAAATCATTTTTATAACTAACTTGTTGTCCATTGAACAAGTTAGTAGTTCAGTAGATTAGTAGAGAATGCATTAACGTCTCCAGCGATGGGTATTTAGATTCAAGTCGTAGTTTGAATAGCAACACTTGTATTCCTTGCTAATCGTAATTTAAATATGTAAAATATTTTAATTATTTAAAACTTAGAGGTAATTGGTAATTGTGTGATTGAAAAGTTCTTCAATATTAACTTGATTAACTGTCTTGTGTAATAGCAGCATTCACTGTCAGGTAAACTCTCTTTTTAAAGTTACATTTTATTAAAGTTACGCGATGCTTACCCCACAACCTGATACACGATATAAAATAAGGTAATATATAAAGTGATTGACTTAATTCTTTATACCTTCGATTTAACCTTGTAAAAGTATTTTAAAGCTAACCAATGTCATGTTTCCCTGTTAGTTAGACGATTAATCTCTACAGGTGAAAATTGATCATGTCTTTTAATTGTGTTGGTATTTTGTTTGTGATGCAACTTCTGCAAATTAAACACTTGTTTATAAAAGAAACGATTTTTTAAATTCCAGCTTATATACACTAAATTATTTCGTTTTCTTATGAGGAACAAACTGTTTTATTTTTTCATTAAAGTGGGAACTATGATATCGCTATAAACGGGGAGATAATAGGAAGTTATGCTGGATCGGGTTCTTTTGGAGAGCTCGCACTTATGTATAACACACCTCGTGCAGCTACTATTGTGGCGAAAACAGATGGTGTTCTATGGGCTCTAGATCGAACGACTTTTCAACATATAGTTTTGCGGCAGGCATTTTTAAAACGTCAACTTTACGAAAACTGGTTGTCTTCAGTTCCGCTTTTGGGAAGTCTAAGTTCTTACGAACGTACTAATTTGGCTGATGCACTAGGAAGTCATACCTATGAAGATGGCGCATTGATTATTCAAGAAGGTGAACCAGGAGAAGAAATGTACTTTATTGAAGAAGGATGTGTGGTAATTTTTACCAAAAATTCTGTAAGAAATATTTTCATCTTTATCAATATTAATAATTTATCATTTATGTAATAGTTGGTTTTCAAAAATACAAATTTTGTGTTTCTTTTAACACCACCTACATGTTGTTAGCTGAAATAACTAATGATATATATATATATATATATATATATATATATATATCGCCATTTTTATTAGTGGTTGTTTGTTAGAACAGTTTATCAATTATTCTTCACAATGAACAAAATAAATAGTCATGCAAAGAAAGTTTTGTTCTTATTCAAGTATTAAGTTCATCAATATTTACATGGTAATAATTAATTATTTGTTCCATAGAAAACCAAATAAACTTCAGTAGATATGATAAATTTGACAATGAAATAGTATGGAAAAAAATATCATGCAAGTGCATCTGTAACACTTCTCATATCATTATTAGGAAATAGCTTTTAAATAAATATTTCAATGAATTCGCAAGTGGACTTACATGCAGAATTTTTATCGTAAATGTTCTTTTCAATAAATAATAACGTACATTTTCAATATTTCGCAAGAAAATCATGTCACAGTTGTCCTATCTTATACTAAACATATTTTGCTTATCTAATAAGTTCATTTAGTAAGGATACAAATAATTTCAGCCTATCTAAAATCATTTTCTCCTATATCTAAGCACTGATAAGATTATTCGCGTCTTAATTAGGTACTGGTAATTCAGTGACAGATCTCACCGTACAGACGGTTTAACAATGAGCTTTTATTATGTCACTTCTCAATCAACTATCTGTGCAAACTAATTAAGCAGGATACAAAATCATGTGCTATAAAGTCTATAAATGTAGAAAACTAATTTGGTTTACTGTTTTGTAACTGTCGCTCAATTAGGCTGGACAGTACATTGTATACCATTTATCCAAGGAAACTAGTTGTATGGTATATCGCTTAAGACGAATAAGAAGATTTAATTAACTATTGCCTTAAATGATAAAAAATAAGGAAGTTTTATTTATCCATATTTTTCATTTATAAGATCTGTTTCAGTAGAGTACTGTTTCTGACCACTTGAAAGTTCCGATAACCACTGAATGGTTACTGATGTATGTTTGTTGACTGGTATTCAGAAACAACAATAGTTGTGAATGTTTCAATCAAACGTCTTAGAATGTTTTCCTATTTATGAAGAAAGTCACAGAAAAAGATCAATTAGTTAGCGATACAGCATTTGTTCTTGTTAAAGGTTAATTAAATAATAGTTATTGGATAAATTTTTCTAAATATCAATAGAATAAAATTTCATTGTGATTGAATTAATTAAATTAATAATTATTTTTTTGTTAATAGAAAGGAGAGGAAATTGTACTCAAAGAGCTGCAGAAGAACGATTATTTTGGTGGTACGCACACTCTTATTGTGATTTTTGTTGCAATATAATTTAAATTCATTTTCTAGCATTATTTATAAAAAAAAGAATGATTTTTTTCATAGTTTCTAGAAATTTCCATATAGCAATTTTAAGTACTTATAACTAAAGAGTACAAATTGTGACAACGTACTTTAGAAAATAGGTAGTCACGAATCAAACATGTTTGTGTTCCGAAAATCTCGTGTGCTTTTTTTGCAGAGACGTAACTGGAGGTCTTTCAAGTAAATGAACAAGGGTGGAAATGATACATAATTATTATGCTGACGTTTTGTTGAATCCTCGAAACAACGATTAAGTTATACGGTTCTGTGTTAGCCTACGGCAAATTCTATTCATAAACCAATCAGGATTCTTTTAATACAATGCAACGAATGATAACTTGAATAGGCCGAATGTCTATCACACAATAATGCCTTGACGTTGATGGTCACCAAGTTAATAAAGAAGATGGGACTTTCGGGCTAACTTATACTCCATACAGATGTCATATTACAAAAAAACTCTGATTTTATAGTAACACTCTATGACATTGAGGTGCATAAAAAAGCTATAACCACAGATCAGGTAGCTATAAATGTTTTGTAAAAAATGAATTAAGAAAATGTCCTTTAGATAAAAAAAACCAATATATGATTATAAAAAAACTGGGTAACTTGATCTCTTCCTAGCAAAATGTTCTAGTACTCACTCCCACAAACGAATATTGAGAATGAAAGTTTGCCTAGTTGAATCTCCATTAATGCAAATTATAAAGTACACTTTCGGTCATTACAAATTCATGTATAATTCATGTCAATTGAATGGGATAAGTCTATGCAACCAAATTAATTGTATTTTCACACTGGAGGCATAACGTGCTAATAACTGGACAAATTTTATTACGTGAAGTTTACGGCTACCTTGTGACTTGTACTATTGTGTAATTTAACCAGCAATGACTAGTTTTTGCATGCCTCTGAAGGTATTTTCATAAGAATTAGAGTTTGTTGTAATGTTTAGCTTGACAAATATGGTCTCTAGTAAATATATAATGAGAATTATATTTTATTTTCTTCAATTAGAATTAGCACTGATTTTACACGAACCCAGAAAGGCATCAGCTCGTGCTGTTGGTAGAACTAAACTAGCAGGTATGTGAATTATTCAGATTTCTTGCTGATACACTTACTCCGATTATTATAAAAAAAATAATAATTTCACTGTACAACCAGTTTATGACTTCATGACTATACCAAAAAGTCATTGAGTGTATGTTACTTAATTGTTTTGGGATTTTGAAGCTATTAAGTTTGTAAACTATGTAAGCCCACAAAAGGAACGTAATTATAACAGATTATTCGCTTTTTGACAGACAATGGCGTATCATTACTGGACTGTACGTTTTTCCAAAAATGTTTACTAATGACCCGAAGAACGTAATATAATTATGCCAATTTATACACATTTTTGTGGCCCGGGTTCTGACTCTAATTTAACGAACGGTTGAATATTCTATGCCATAAATCTCCCCTTCAATTTCCGCAAACCGTTCTTAGGCGAACCTCGTTTATACGACAGCGGTAACAACACTGACTCAGTAGGATGAGTTTATTACATGGAATCGTTCACACAGACAGGTATGAGGATAAAGAGCAGAAAAGCTAGGCGAAGCAGAGTGAAACAAAGAAGACGAGTGAGCCAACTCAGTGTGATGATGTATAACTAAGTATTTATAATCAGACAAAAGTAAGCTCGACATATGATAACCGAAGCAAGTAATGTACAACGCATTCATGTAAAAACAGCCAAGATTTTAAACAAATAATTGACAAGGTTGAGAGTAGTAGGAATAGTAGCTAAGGCAGTAAAGATTAATTTGTTTATCCAAATGGTAGGATAAAATTAGTACATACACTACAATATAATGCCTAGTACATTATTAAAATCTTAGTTATTTTAACTGGATATGCGTACTAATTTCTGAACTTTCAGTGGTCATTTTGACAACTGATAATGCCTGAAGACGTTTGATACTGCATACTACTATATGCTTAAAACCTGTACTCCTCCAATGTAATTTTGAACTATATCACTTTGCACAAATGCAAGTTATTTATATGCAAAAAATTAACCGATGTTTATGAGTGAAAGATTTTAAACTATACATCCAAGTTATTACAATGTACGTTATTTTTCATATTTTACATGTGCTTTTCATGTGACCCATTGATTCCTGTGAATATTCAATTGTTTATAAGTTTTATTTCTAAGTAAGATCTGTCTTTTTCTTGTCAATACATATTAGTGCTAGACGTATCAAGTTTTGAACGACTTATGGGACCGTGTATAGAAATTATGCAACGTGAAATGGGACGCTATCGCATTCAACTGCTTGAAACTCTGGGATTAGATCATATACGTAATAATCCTTCATTGGCGAAATTTGTAGAATTTGGACAGTAATTAAAGAAAAAAAAACTTTTTACACCATAATCAATTGTAAAAGCAAGCTGAGAGTGTTGATTTTTTTAAATTGATTTCTTCATGTAGATGTTTTACTTGAATTATCTCATATCCTCAATGATTTCTTGATGAATTTTTTTTATATCTTTGATTAGTACAAATGTTTCATGCTTTCAAGATCTTCTCTTACAATATCTTTAAAGTGATTTGTTCTCATTATTTACTGATTATATTTGATCACTTAAATTCATTTTAAAGTCTGATTTCAATCATCATCATCATCATCTTCTTGATTTCATACAAACTCAATAAAATAATAATGTTCTTTTGAAAATAGTTTGATTAACAACCATCTTTATTTGGATAATTCAACAACTCACATTGATCCATGCCTCATGTAAATAATTAACTTAACGCTGGTTTTGTGTTTGAATTTAGAAAAAAGAAACGGTGTGATGAACGGAGAAAAAGCAAGTGAAGACTGTGATGATAAGAAAAATGCATCTCCATAATCAACAATGAAATAATTGATCATTACTAAAAGAAAGTGAAAATATTTACATGCTTAAATTTATTTATTCCTACGAATTCATTTCGTTAATTCACTTAACACTTTTTTTTTGTTGTACATTGACTTTATCTGAAAACATTGAAAATAAATCAGATGAAAATTATCATATTTATTTATTTTCACTTATAGTTAGTAGTAGTAATATTTGTTTAGTGATATTATCATTGCTGTTACTAGTTTTTTTTTGTCTTCACATTGTGATTATAGATTTTAACAAAAATAACACTATACTAATAACGTTAGTTTAATAATCAAATATTGTTTATTAGTTAGTTAGTAAAGCGTTTATTTTGACCAAATGATACGTCACACTTATACAGCTACGATTCTAAAATACACTTTCTCCTATATTTTCTTACAATAATTCATATTAGTGTGTGTGCACTCTTGATGATGACAATGTTTGCCTCTTTGTTTTTTTTTGTTGACTATGAAAAACGTTTGTTTTCGAGTGGTTTTTTCTTCATTCAATTGTAAATGTACAGCTATGAATGAATGTTATGCAGTTCTACATTTTTCTGATTGTAAATTAGTTTTGTACCACTTGTGGTACATTAATTTTAGTTAGTTGGCAAATTATACTATGTTAGTTATGTATTCTTTTTATTTGAATTGTTTGTGTTTGTTTTAATGAAATTATCGAAATAACTTCCATCGATTATGAGACTTCTGTCTTTATTTTCATTAGATTACGTATCATTATAGGAATCAAGCTAAAAAAATCAAAATGTTTAAGGTAGCATGTCGAGGAGCTAGTATTTGAGAAGATATATACATAAATATGTATGAAATTGGTCTTCTTAACACATCACTGTTATTACTTTAAGTTGAAAATAAAATGTCTGTCTTTAATGATTGAAATTCGTTCGACAGTCGATGCGAACTTTACTTTCTCATGATAGTCAACATCTAGGTTTAGTGATCATTTTGTCAGTACTTAAGTTTATTCAAATCGCATATATTAATCGGAACATCAAAAAAATTGAATGCAGTTCAGCGAAATCACATATTTTAGAAGTAGATATGTATATTTTACCGTGCAACAGTAATGAAATGGCGTTGTGTTAAAAATCGAAACGAACATTTGACTTTGACATAATAACTCTACTTTCCTTCCATTTGTTCTAAAGTTGTTTTAATGGAGTTGACTCGAAGTTGTTCGTTGGTTTAATACACTGAGCCGGTGGTCTATCGGTTAGGGCGTTGGCGCACAATACCGAAGGTCCTGGGTTCGAATCCTGCGGGGTGCAGGAGTCGTGGATGCGCACTGCTGAGGAGTCCCATACCAGGACGAAACGGCCGTCCAGTGCTTCCAGGTTTCTAACGGTGGTCTAACATTGATCGATTCATGGTTTCAAAAATGTGTAACTTAACAATCTTCACATCCCCGTAATCTATGGAAACGCCGGAAACATTTCAATGTTTACTTTTTACTACTTGCAAGTAGCATAAGTATAGTGGGTAAAATAATTAAAATCTAACTGAATTTTACGGAAGTGGTGAAACAATTGTGAAATTTTTATCACAATCATATAAGAAGTAATGTACTTGTGTAATTCTAAAAGAATACTGAGTGTTACAATTTGATCGTAGTATTCTTTTCCTCACAGACAAAAGATACCTAAAATAAATGACTCAAATGGGCTTAGTGTTTGATCTAACTTTTACATTGATTTCATATGTTTGTTCCACAAATCCTCAGGTTTTTGATAAATATCTATTCACACTACTGTTATCTTTTAGCTAAAGTCGCAAAATTTCAGCGTTTTTTGTTAACTGACATGCCCAAAAACGTACTGGAAATCAGTTATGTTCGAAAGGTTATAGTATTTGAGTAAGTTATTGACCTATTCACTGGATAAACCTAAGTTCATTGTTTTAACGTCATACACAGGAATTTGAAATAGTGATGTTTCTCAGCAGTTTCACTATTTTCATATCTATACATTGCCAACATAGGTCTTTTCGTCACGAACATACATTCTACTTATTCATAACAAGTGAATCAGCATAGTGAATTTCTTGTATTTATAATTTAAAAAAGGTAAGATCATTTTAAATGAAAAACAGTTCAGTTCATAAACAAATTTTTTTTTATAAAATAGCATATATTCTAGATACTGGATACATGAAAGCGTTTGAAAAGAATGATGTATATCTGCAGAATGATAAAAAAAAAAGTGAGCAGTGTGTTGACATGATGAAAATAATTTTTTTTTGAGCACGTAACTCGATAACACTCCATAGGGAATACAATATATTTTAATCGATAAGTGAAGAAAACCCACTTGCTCCCAAATCCGATTCGTTATATATAGGATAACAATTTTTGTTTGTTTTTCTTCTTTTTTTGGTAAATAATTGAATTTTTTTTCAATAGAATATTTGTCACAATAGATTCAACTATTTTTTTTTCTTTATGTGATGCTTTAGTAATCAATCAATTATTGTTGATATGAATGAGATAATTTTTTTTTTAGAAGTAACAAAAATAACGCTATATACTTACATAAAATAATTGCCTGAAGAATATAACAGGTTCATTGATTTAGCTTTCATTTTCAGTTGATGTTAATATATATACGTATAATGGCATGAATTATTTGATAGCAATACAATTTTATTACACTTTAAAACTGTCAACAAAAATGATGTATTTTATGACTAAAGCCAAAATTAATAGAAAACAAACAAAGCAATGGCTATGAAAAATCAATTGAAATTGTTAATAATTTATTGAAACGCGATGAGTTTGACAAATCAATAAAAGTTATGTAATGCAACATTGAAAAAAATCGAATAGTTAATAAAACTCCAATGAAATAAATTTCATCGTTAGTTTAGTTTCGTTGCACGCAATGTAGTCATTATTAATTCAGTTTAATGAGAAGAAGTAATTAAAGTTATTAATTATTGAGTGAATTTTTATGTCTGTAATTAACCTTGTCAGAAAAGCAATGTGAATATATTCTAGACAGAGAAAATTTCGCTAACCATTATCCTATACTGAACTAGACAGATAGAGTTTAGACTTATTTACAAAGTTCACTGTAAAGATTTTTTAAATCAGACATAATTTTCATGTTCAAATTTCTTATCAGCCGATATTGCGTACAATTGCAAAAGTTCAGTCATATTACTTAAACTGTACTCTAATTATTCTGCTAAGTAAAGTTTATATCTGGAACTGAAAAAAAATATTTTGTAAATTTACTATATATGTTTGGTATTAATAATGTTGGCTTCTCGTTCCCAGTAATGTAAAATCTTGTTGATATTTTGTTCGAAACGACTGATGAATTGTGTGATATAATGACTATATTGAGGCAGTTCATACGGTATGCACAGCTACCATCTTTTGTACTGTATATACAGTAATCATTCTTCAAACATTACATATCAGGTTATTGTCATGTTGAAATCACATAAAACAATATTCGCGATCAATACAACCATCCATTGCTTAATTTAGATGGCTCACACCTTTATTTACAGCTACTTAGAATATAATAATTTTTTTTAGATATTTTATGACATTTTTATCTCATTAAATTGAATTCGTTAAAACGACTAAAGTTTATTTTTTTATTACTTCAATTCTATTCGAAATTGAAGCACAGTTCAATAAACTTGTTTTCTTTTCCACTGTTCCGCATAAAGTGATTTTGTCTATCTTGTCGATCGCGCAAAACTATATTTTATTTTTGTTCTGAAGTAGCATTTCAAAACATCATTGACTATTGTTGACACACACAAGCACAAATGCATTCATTTAAAAATGACTTTGTGTAAACTACAATTTACATTCGTATGCACTATTACCTTCTAAATCACTGTAATTAATCTATCCGCTGGGACATATTTAGTGAAAATGCTGTTATAAATACAACAGTAGTCAATAACTGGACACACTAATATCCATATTTTATTTTAGTTATTTTGCTTTTAAAATATGACCAAACGGTTTACGCTTATTATAATCACAAGTTATCAGTTTTCAAATAATTTAATCATGTTTGTTTGATGAAAAGCCTGTAAGAAAATCTCCTAGGAATTTATTGAGAAATCGTAACTGGTGAATCAGGAGTAGGATACTATTGGTTGCAATGATAAATGGCTATCTTATGCCATACGGTGGAAATGCTGTCAGTCAGATTTCAGCCCACCAATTCTAAGCTCCTAAATTCAATTTAATTTAATAATAGTGACCGGTCATTACTAATACATGCTTTCCATGGTTTAATATAATTATCCAGACGATACTAATGCCTGACTAAATATATCTTCAAGTACTAAGGAACTAGAGAAAACTAATAACTTTAATGGTAGTAAGTTAGCAGGAAAAAAATCACTCACTTCGCAGTACTTAATGTAAAAATTCAGTGCAATTAAATATCATACATAAATATCACTACATAATTTTAAAAAATGTCATAAACGTTTATCTATATTATTCACTAATAATAAATATAATTAGCCGTCTAGAAACCAATAGAAATTAACAAATGCTGCCTAGTATTTTTTTTATTACATTCAAGGTTTTATTGCAGTTTTTGAGAGACTGATCAATATGTAAAATATTTAGCCTCAGTAAATCATCTGAACCAGTGTTATTATCCCGATACATTGATAGTTTTGATTGTTTTTATTTGAATAAGGATAACTGGATGAAATGTGGCAGCTCATATGAAAATTCTGAAAAACGCCGTTTGGTGAAATTAGAAGTAACTGCAGAATGACAATCCTGAATAGTATTATGAAATTATTTCTAATTACAACATTCTGATCATAAACTGTCTAAAATTGTACGCATTATATATACATATAACGACATTTTTAATGCTGATGACTGCGTAAATAATTTTTAGTTTCATCAAAAACTGGTGAATGCCATCCAGACCAAAACATGGCAGAAATCCATGAAGTCACTGACAAGTGGACTGAGTCATGTTGGCAGATGTAGGCTACCTGGTTGGGGTCCGCGAGACGAAAGTCACCAATGGTTAGAGACCTTGAACGACATGGCTCAAAATCGTTTGCAATGGCGCAAGTGCATCCATTCGTTGTGCTCTCTTGACTCCTAATCTTCTGGACTCGTCATCACCCCCTACCTTTGTCTTTCTAACCTTATCTCTCTGAGTTGTGCTTTTTGAATAATATCTTCAAACCTAGTCTTCTTCATTACCATTAATACGTCTACTATCTTTATCACTATGGGATTTGATTTGACATTTGCGTCTGTGTGCTAATGTGGTTTGGCAACGTGAACTTATGTACATACGTACAAAGTTCTACGTTGCAACTGACTTACTGGCTGGTGAATGCCAAAATCTTGATTCAGAACATTTCGTGACAGGGATCAGCTTTTAAATATTCGGGTAGAAAGGAGAATCTGATATAGATGCAAAAACAGGGATTAGCAAATCAAATGAATCATGTATACATCTGAAGAACTTCTGAGACTCAAAACAGTTATCATCCAATAGGAGGATCACAATCTTCAATACAGACGCCCAAACAGTTTTACTGTATGGAGCGGAAACTAGGAGAAGCACGAAAGCCATCATCCACAGATATTTATTATTCATCGCCTATGCAGGGTACTTCGGATCCGTTGACCAGATATCATCAGCAACAGCCTACTGTGGGAGAGGAAAAAAATAA